TAAGCTGGTTAAGCTAACCTAGGTTTAAAAGTTAACAGAAGTATAAATATTTCTTGTATACAAGTAATTTTCACTGCTTTTGTGTTGCGTATTATGAGATTATGCAAACTCAAAACAGAAGGCCGGCCAAACAACATACAGAAAACCTCATCGCAGAGTTACAAAACTTAAATGAAATTTTCGCTTAACCTGGGTTATCTTACTCAGGCTTTGAACAACCCGGCCCAAGAGCTCCGCTTTTAGGCTTGACTAAATCTGTATGTTAAGGTATTCTTTATTAGGGACTTTAAGCAGCGGGAATGCGGACGGCTATGGCGACACCGAAGCCTGTGAGAAGGCTGGAGAGAGAGCGTCATTATGGCGAGAATTCACAAACATTAAGCAGCACCGTCGGAAACCGTGGTTTCCGCACTGTCAAGGTTATGGACATTATTGATATTCGTCCTCTGTTTATCAGGATGACTTCATTGAAAGAAGTTCGCAATTAGCTCTTGATAATCCACGATGAAGGTGTTTTAAACGATGACGAACTTCTACTCTTGTACGATTTAAACTGGTCTAACGATCTCGACCAGCCTTATGATTCCTTTTACTGATTTTAACTTCGATGATTTGAAGACGACGAGTGCCTGTCCGAATTTGGCTTCCACAAACGCGACTTGCCCCTTCTCGCTGAGTTGTACAGTGAAGTAAATGAACTTATTATCAGCAGATGTTTAATCAGACTGGCACAACACATCCGTGTTCCGACTGATAAAGATCTAAGTAACCCACTGATCTTACGACTGAAAATGAAAACAGCTACACAAGTTTTAATGGTGTCTACCTTTTAGATGTGTTAGAATTTCACCATAATGAGCCATCTGACATTTGAGTACTTCTTGAAAGGAAAAATTTCGGTTCAAATGCGTGTAAGTTGTCTTTATTTCATAATTTTTAGTGTCAATTTTAGTATGCAATTTAATTAGGCTAGTTTTGGGACGCACTGAAATTTTATTTCTTAAGTTTTTGGAATGTTTAATATCGGAGAATATTCTTTGTTTGGGAATTTAAATTACCTCAATTATTCTCCAGTCATGTACTTTTTGTAATTTCTTTGATTTATTTTTGTACTAGCATGACAAAATATTATTAAACTATTAAACTTAAACGGTAAGCTTTCAAAAAGAATATTTCACGGTACTCACATGTTCGCCGACTGGCTTGAGTTCGCTTCAGATTTCTCGACGTTTCTTTAAAATGAAATATCTCACACACCAAGAGAAAACAAGCATTAAAGTTCCTCGAAATTAGTATTACGGGTTATTTAGCGTTGACACAGTAAAGGAAACGAAAGCGAAATCTCACGTTTTCAGACAATGCGAAATGAGCTTCACTCACGTCGGGCCCGAACGCAGAACGTCAACCTGTTTCCCACCAGTCGTTCGCAGTCGACCTTTTGGCTTTTCCCTGGTCTAATGGCGTTCCCGTCGCCGTCCGCGTTGTCGTTGCGTTGTCGTCCCTATTTATAGTAACAACACCGCTTAGCTAAATAAAAAGCTACTTCGCAGGAAGCCCAGTATTAAAATAACATAAAAATACATTGATTAATAAACAAGTTTATTCAGCAAACATACATACAAACAAACAAAAAACAAACAGCCTCACAAACAAACGAACAGACTCACAAACAAACAGACCCAAAAAACAAGAAAACAGACTCACAAACAAACTAACCCCCATCAAACAAACAAACAGACTTACAAACAGACTAACCCCCATCAAACAAACAAACAGACTTACAAACAGACTCACAAACAAAAAGACTCCAGACAAACAGACTCACAAACAAACAGTTTCACAAAGAAACAAACTCAAAATAGAAAAGAAAATCACAAACTCATAAACAAACAGATTCTATGACAAACAAACAGTCACAAACAAAAAGACTGACAAACCAGCTAACAGACTCACAAACAAACAAACATAGTAAAACCCAAAAACAAACACCCAGACTCGAAAATAGATTAAAAACAAACAAACAGACTCACAAACAAACAGAGTCACAAACAGAGAAAAAAATAAAGAAAGAAAAACCCAAAAACAAACACCCTGACTCAAAAACAGACACGCAAACCAAACAAACTAACAAAAAAACAAACTCACAAACAAAGACATACAGAATCACAAACAATTTGACTCACAAACAAAACAGTCTCATCAACAAACAAACAGACCCACAAACAAAGACTCACAAACAAGCAACCAGACTCTCAACAGACTCATGATCAGAGACAAGCAAACAGACTCACAACAAACAGATTCACACATAAAAAACAACAGACTCAAAAACAACTTGAGTAAACAGCCTCACGAGGAAACACAGACTTACAAACACACAAACAAGCAGACTCGCAAACAAGCAAACAGACTTACAAACAAAAAAACAGACTCAAAAACAAGAAAACCTTAAACAGACACAGGCCCACAGACAAACAAGCAGACTCCCAAACAAACTCACAGACAACTGAGTGACTCACAAACAGACACACAAACAAAGACACAAGCAAAAACATACAAACAGACACACAGACAAACACACAAACACACAAACAAACAAACAACAAACATACTCAAACAATCAGACTCACAAACGGACAGACCCACCATCAAGAAAACAGACTTAAAAACAAACAAACAAGCCATAAAACAAACCAAACACAAAAACAAGCAAACAGACCGATAAACGAACAGACTAACAAACATACAGACTCACAAATTAATAAATTCACAGACAAACAAACAAGCAATCGGACAAACAACCAAAAAATGGACTCAAAAACAAAAAGACTGACAAACCAGCTAACAGACTCAAAAACAAGGAAACAGAGTCACACACCAAAAAAATGCAAACGAACAGACTCACGAAGAAAAAAAAACAAACTCAAAATAGGACAACAAAATCACAAACTCATAAACAGATTCAAAGACAAACAAACAGAATCACAAACAAAAAGAAACAAATTTAAACGAACAAACAAACAGACTCTTAAACAGACTCAAAAACAAACAGACCCATAGACAAACAGACTCACAAACAAACAAACAGCCAAAGAAACAAACTCACAAACAAGTAGAATCAAAAACAAGAGAACAGACCCACAAACAAACAGTTGAGTCACAAAAAAAACAACAAACAAAGAAAGTAAAACCCCAAAACAAACACCCAGACTCAAGAACAGATACACAAACCAAACACACTGACAAACACACAAACACACTCACAAAAGAAATCAAACACAATCACAAACAATTTGAATCACTAACAAAACAGACTCGTAAACAAACAAACAGACTCAAAAGCAAAAAGACTCACAAACAAGCTAATAGACTTAAACAAGGAAACATATTCAAAAAAGACCAACAAACAAGCAAACAGACTCACAACAGACTCACAAATGAGCAGACAGACTCACAACAAAAAAATTAACAAAGAAACAAACACACTCTCAAACAAACAGATTTAGAAACAAACACAGACTCGCAAACAAGCAAACAGACTCACAAACAAACAAGAGGACTTCGAAATTAACAGACTCACAAACAAGCACTATGGGCTGATAGTGTCTCTCCGCGGATGAACACTATCGCGTCACGTGATCGATTTAAACCAATAACAATCGGAGAAAATTTAGTGGTGAACTATAATCTGTGATAGATACTGAGTGGCTTAGCAGTATCTGCTTGTTAATAAAATGACAGCCCCTTCCTGGCGTTTTCGAAGTGTCTGTGAAGAGGATTTAGTTAAAGTTTTGAACAACTAGTAGATTTATACTAAAACAATTAGATTATTCGCTCTCGATTTCTATACGTGATAGAAATCTCGAGCTCATAATCTAATCGTTTAATAGCAGTCACCGTTCCAACAGGGACGATTAATCCTTCACCTCGGCTGTCTTAGCATTTTATAGAGGTTCGATTGTATTATAAATTACTTTATTTTGTAGGTCTTCAGAGCGCGACCTGGAAGAACACTTTCCGTGCATTTACGGTCGATTGTAGGAAGTGAATTTGAGCTCAACATTACAGATGGAAGTGCACACAACAACAACGTACTCATCAAGATTACAGATAAGTACAATGGAAAGACGGTAAAAACTGCTTCTAGTTGTGTCTTGGAAATTTCTTTCTATTCTAAAGGCAATTCCAAAGTTCCAGCCAATCTGGAAATGATCATAGTGGAAGATCAAGGTACCTGTTAAAGTTACAGCAGTAACTTCTCAAAATAAACGTTGATCTAAGGAGATTGTAGACGTAAAAATTTTATTATCATGTATCCAGGATTGACTTACTTCAAAGTTATACACGACGCTTTGGTTTGCTCCGAATGTTTGAACTGTTCTTGTCTTCTTGTATAAACTGCTTTCTCCTGCTTCGTCTGTTGCTTTTACAAAACAAGTATTCGGTTGCAAAACAGCTAAATATTGTTCCGAATAGGAAACTCTGAATGAAAAAGAACGGTAGATTATTTATATAGGCCAAGAAAAACTGTCTTGTGAAAAGACACTCATTGTATGTTTATTGAACAGAGGTCGGAACTTTCAAGGTTTTTTATAAGATCTTTTTCCGGGTATTTTTATCATGTTCTTGGTTTTATTTCTATGCAGGGTCGCCTCCATCCCTTCTAATATCAAAGAGTACTTTTTCCAACAACTTTAAAACCGGAATTGCAGTATATGACCTGATGGGCTATTTTCAAATTTTTAACACGGTGACGTCGAAAAACGGTGGTGTTGGCCTACATATAAGGCGAGCACACGGTAGACTCCATGTCGTATCATCTGTGCTTGCTGATAACCAAAAACGTGGCGCGTACATTGAGAAAATGTCGGGATCAGTGGTACTTGAAACTGTCACATCCTCGAAAAACCACGAATCAGGAATGGTAATCGAGTCAGGAACGTTATCTTTCTTAATGACTGACAGTCACGTGAACGAGAACCTGGGTGAAGGCTTATACATCTCAAACCCACTCGACTCTATTATAAATATCTCCAACACAGAGTTTCTTCGCAACAGCGGAGGCCAAGGAGTTTATTTCAAGGACTTCCGTGAAGATTGCCAGATTCTTCTTTCAGACATAACTTCACTTGGAAACTCACAGAACGGTGCTTTGTTTGAAAGAGTAAGAACCAAGAGTATGAACGTAACATCCTCCTCGTTTGACGGAAATACGTTACATGGCGTACATGTTAAAGAGGTTTTCACGGGTAGCGTTAATTTGCAGGAAATTTCCACATCTTACAATTTGAAAACAGGCCTGGTTTTCTACCAAGGAGTCAGCAGCATGAACATAGAATCGTGGTCTTCCATTGGTAACCAAATTGATGG